CTATGGAGTTTTTAATTTGGTTTATTATTTCCTTCATGTCAAAGATTTCTGGGTTTATTTTAGAACTTCTATCTTCTTATTGAAGTAATCTTTTGCTTCCTGTATTTGCTTATATAGCTCTTTATCAATTTGATCTTTTGCTGCCTGTATTTGCTCTCTTATATCATTCTTCAATTCACAGAACATTTTAATTATGTACATCCTGAACTTCTTCTCTGACATTTCTTCTGCTGTGCTAGCAATAGATTCTAATATTGTAGTATCTTTGTTTGGGAACTTTCTTCCCTTGTATTTTCATGTTGTTTGTATATATTCTCTTCAGGCACTGTGGATTTGAAGTGTTACAGTTATTACCATTTAGGCTTATAGTGTCTCTGCAGGATTACAATATCTCTCCTTTAATGGGGAGAACAATATTAACAGATCTCAATACAAACAATATACACCCTTAAACCAAATAGCTTCTATTAAGACATTTACGGTTTTGTCACAATATACAGAAATGGTGATTTTAATTATTATCTACAATATAAACAGTATATTTGCAAAGAGTCTACAGTTTCTGGTGGTGGACAAAGAGAGAACCGGGTGTGGGATGTAGCATGAGATGTTAAGGAGGTAGGAGGTGAGGACATAGAGTTATTGAATCTTAGGAAGCATGAAAGAGGAATCTAAAGAAGTTGACTAATAGCAGGAAAAAAAGAAAAGGTAATTTTGGGGGAAGAGAATAGAGAGAGTACAAAAAATAAAATAAACAAACATAAAAATTAAGAAAAATAAAAATGTAAAAATAGGAGGTAAAATAATATACCAAACAATTGTAATATACTATTTAGACATCCCAATCCTTAGTAGCCTAATTCTTGAAAAGTTCTTGGTAATGTTGGGGATGTGAGAGTGGGAGAAGAGAAAGAGAGAAAAGTGAAAGAAATAAAGAAAGAAAGAAAGAAAGAAAAAAGGAAAGAAAAAAATCTCAAAGGAAAATACCAGGATTGTTTTTGTTTGAGTTCAGTACATTTTTCTGCTTCCCTTCTCATCCAATAGGTGGGGTGGTCTGTTGTTTGCTGCTATCTCCACCCTCAGAATGCTGAAGGTTATTAGGGTGAGAAGGTTGGTCTTGAGGGCAGAGCTCTGGAGGTGGGATATAGCACTTGCTGATCCCTGTTGGGAGACTGCTCCCCAAGGCTCTCCTTTGGAGCCCACTTGGGTTATGTGGGCGTCTGGTCCTATCTCCTTATATTGCCTGTAGACTTCACAATTCCTGGTCTCTAATTTAGTCTCTAAACCTCTCTCTTTCTACTTCCCGATCAGTAACCTCTCTCTCTGGAGGTCTTGTGAGCTGCACTCTGGGGGCTGCACACCTGTTGCAGAGAGCTGGTTTCTATTGGTCAGTTCAGGGCCAGGCTTTGTGAGCTATGGACCAGCCACAAGCACTGTGAGAGATTAGTGGCTACAAGGGAGAGGGGTGTTAGGAAGAACAGGTACCTTTGTGTTGCTTCTAAGCCCCAGCTGGTATCCCAAGCTGGGAGTTGCCCCAAGTAAAGATGGTGACAAAGGTGTCCCAAGATGGAGGCGACTGCTTTCAGAGATGGGGTGTCAGGTTGGGCAGGTGGTAACACTAGGCATTGTGTTCAGAGATGCCACTTTATGGCCTGCAGTGTTGTGGCTGGTGGCTGTCTTCAGACTCTGTACTGTATCCTCAGGTGCCAGCTACCATATGTAGGGAACTATAGCAGTGGTTACAGTGTACCGTGATGGAGGTGATCAAGGGAGCCCCACAGTGGCAGATGGGGGTCCACATGGGAGTGGAAGCTTGAGGTACTGTGTGTGGGCAGCTTCTGGGTATCCTGCATGGGAATGGAGGCCGAGATTCCTGCTTGGGTGGGCATCCAGGGGTCCTGCAGGTGCTGAGGCGTGGAGACTTTCGTGGGCACAGCAGTCAGGATTCCTTCATGGGAGCAGCTGTCAGGGTCGTCCAATAACTCACAGAGAAATAGTATTCTCACTATTAGTATCTCAAGAGCAACACAGAATGCAGCCTCCCTCTAGCCCACCATCTTGGATCCCCCTGACTAACAGTATTTTAATGCATAAATTGTAAATAGATATAAATTTTTTAAGATTAGTCTTAGATTATGTGAATCATAGTAAGTTGTTTTAATATCTTTAATTTATTTATTCATTTATATGTGGTGCTGAGGATCAAACTCAGGGCCTCGCCTGTGCTGGGCGAGCACGTTCCTCTGAGCTACAACTCCAGTCCAAATTATGGTAAGATTTTGTCTTTGAAAAGAATTCATCAATTTTGGATTTCACATCCTGAATAGCACCCAGGAAGTCTTGTAAAAAGTCAAGAGCATTATACCTTTAAGAGTACAAATGAGCTGGGTGTGGTGGTGCTTGCCTGTAATCCCAGCAGCTAGGGAGGCTGACACAGGAGGATCATGAGTTCAAAGCCTCAGCAATGGAGAGGCACTAAGCAACTCAGAAAGACCCTGTCTCTAAGTAAAATACAAAGTAGGGCTAGGAATGTGGCTCAGTGATCAGTGCCCCTCAGTTCAATCTCCAGTACCAAAAAAAAAAAGAATACAAGTAAGCAAGGAAATACTTATTGCTGGAACCACCTCATGGGATGCCTTGATGTTCACTGCCATGTGAGCATTTTTCTGCCTAGAAACAGCATAACCCACTATTCAGCTCTGGCTGGCAGACCCCATGTGACCTAGCAACAGTGAACATAAAATGTTCCTACAAGAAACAAACTTATTTCAAATCTTTCCCTTATTTATTTATTTACTTTATTTGTTCTTTTTAGTTATGCACGACAGTAGAGTGTGATTTGGTATATTTATACAAACATCTTCTTCTAATTAAGGTCCCCATCCTGTGGCTGTACAGATGTGGAGATACACTGTGGTGTATTTCAGATCTTTTGTCTAAGGTCCCTCCTCCCCAACAAACTAACAGGAAACACCAACACCAGCAACAATGGTGAACAGCATTGAAGCCTCTGACACCTGCACTACTGGATGATAATTAAAAATAGAATGAATTAATATTTATTTATCTAAAAATATATTTGTGAACATAAAACAAAAAGCCACCAACATGCATTTCACAAGAAAATATTTTGCTTTGTTAGGCATGTTCCAAATATTGAATTTGACCTTGACATAAGCAGATAATTAGTTTTATTTTCCTTTCTCTAATTTTTATGCATAATATATTTTCTCTTTTTTCTTCCACAACATTAAAAAATTGCTCCTTTCAAAGGATGCTATCTATTTTTGTTTTGCTCCGAATATTTATATCTCTTTATATTAGTAATCCTTATCTCAAAGGAATGTGCTTGCCTTCTGTATGATTTCAGGCTGTAGAACATCTTACCAAGTACTATTTGAACTCTACCTTTCTCCTCTCTTTTTTCTCCTCTCCACTCTTGGTCAAAATATGCATCTTTCTGATTATAACATGTAGTGTTATACACCAGTTACGTTAGGCCACACGCCCAGCCCTATTTTGTATTTTATTTAGAGATAGGGTCTAACTAAGTTGCTTAGTGCCTCTCCATTACTGAGGCTGGCTTTGAACTCATGATCCTCCTGTCTCAGCTTTCCTAGCTATTGGGATTACAGGTATGAGTAACTATGCCCAGGTCATTTGTACTCTTAAAGGTACCATTCTCTTGACTTTTCACGGGTTTTCGTGGGTGCTATTCTGTAGGTGAAATCCAAGTTTTGCAAGTCTTTTTTCCCAATTGAGTTTTGCTGCTTTTTCTCTTCTTCTGAAATATGTATTTAAAAAAGCACAGCAGTTTTGAGTTTTGTGCCTAGTGTTAGCAACTGTTGTTGCCTGTCAGGCAATTGTTGCTGTACTCGGTGGGGATGTGGGTGAGGAGCAGGCATCTGACAGGAGCCTGGAACCTGATCAAGATGGTCTGGGGCTGGAGAAGTGGGCCCTTCTTAGTCATGTCCCAAGCACTCCGTGCTGTTTGCTACCAAAGTCAGCGACTCCTTCAAGAATCTGGGGTGGGACTGTGGTTTTATATTTAAACAAGACACTTGAATTGAAGGGAAAACTAGGAATTTTTTTTTTTTTTTTTTTGGGGGGGGGG